ACTCACTCATACTTAAATATACACATATACATATATATACGTGTTGATGAAGGAAGCATCTTTAACATCTGAAGTATATTATATAGATAAACAGACTGAAACAAATGCCTAGTTGAAACTTTATAAAGTGTTAAACTACATTAATCTATTAATCTATTCTCTTTCAAAACACAAGAAACTGTATTTCGTTTTTATGGGAGAGTGAATAAGTCAGAAATACATCTACACGCACACAGTCGTCACAGCTGTGAGCAGACTTTCATTAAACGGTTTTATTATGAAAGAATAAAGCTTCAGAAAGCTTTAAAATGCTCCTGGATACAAAACTGAACTGGATTCCATCAATATCCTCATTACGCTGCTGCCTGATTTCATTTACTTCAAAAGCCCTTTCACTTAGCTGATTTGAAAGCTCCAAACAAAAACATAAACCACTGCTTTATTAAGGGAAGTGAAAGGAAATGAAATTAATGGTTAGTTTGGAAAGCAGAGTGAAAACCTAATTTATGATCCCTGCCTTCGACGGGAAGCGGAAGAAGGACAAAGAACGAGGATCAAGGAGATTTGAGACGGAGCGGAGTCACGTCCAAGTAACACGATGCATCCTGAGCCCAAAATATTAAATATAAGTTTGTGATGTCGCGTAAGTGGGACTTTTACATGTGGTCTCCATTATGAGATGAAATAAACAGAAAGCATGACAATGAAAAAGAAATGGAAAACTAAAAAGATATAAAATAATCAAACAGCAGAATAAAGTCATAATTTTGGGAAGCATCTGTTTTCTTGCAGAGTGAGATAAGAAGATTGACACCACACTCATATGTTTTCATTAAAAATTCATATGCAGCTGCAGCCAGGAGACATCCAGCTGGGTGGAAACAGACGTGAACAGTTTACTTGTTAAAGCTCATTAAAAATACTGAACTATTTACTTCAAGTACTTTCAGACATGTGGGCGTCAGTGTTGAGGTTGAGACGTAAACATTCAAAAATTAAATTTAATATCATTAAATAACCAAAAACCAAATTCTTCAGTTTAAATTTGACATGTCCCGCACAGCGGTCGTCCTCGTGACGTCACGATATTGTTTTCAATGTTGTTTTTTTCGGCGCTCCGAAAAACATCCAGCGTGATTCCTTCAACACGTCTTTTGCAACTACTAAAGTAACCACTGTGACCCCTTGAAACTGGGTTATATTTTCTTCCCAGCATTAATATCACTGGGAAGCCGGAATCACGGCTCATCTGACCGAGCTGCAGGACTTTAGATGAAGATGGATGAATATTTCCTCAATCCCCATGTCAGGAAATCCTTTGATGCCTGAGAGTCCCACTGAATTTCAGTTGGGCTAACAGGGGATTTGCCATTACATGCAACTGATTCAACGTGTGGGTCATGAAGCAGCACACATTCATTTGTCAAACTTATCTCGTGGCGTTCCAGGGTTCACTCGAGCCTCGTCACGTGCTCGCTCTATTACCCGCACATACCCGAACTGAGATATTTCCCTCGTACATAAACACACATACTGTACACATATAGCCACAGAGACACTCTGAGTCAGACAGAGGAGTATGCACCCATGCACACATTCATCCACAATATAGATCCATCCATGTGTTAAGTAACTCAAAAGGTCATTTCCACGTTTAAACCAATGACTCAAACGTCAGGAGCTAACGCTACTCAAACATCCACGCCACAAATAATCCACACGTCAACATCCAGCAACGCACCTGGATATTAAAAAAAAAAAGAAATAAAGGAATCTTCTGAGAGTGACAGAAGGTCGCACATTTCTAAATGATATATCGTTACAGGCCACGTTTATTTCTGTGTGAAAACTCACAGAGACCACGTTCACGTAGTCGTCGTCAGAGAGGGTCTCCAGCATCTTGTTCACGGACGTTCGAATGAGTCTGAGGGTGAGACCTGAGATGCTGCCGCTCCTGCATTCGAGGAAAAATAAAGATGATATAAGTTTAACATCATTTAACAACTATTAATTATTAATCTTCAATAATGACATGAGTTGAGTGTTGCACATCATTAGAACAATACTCATTGATATAATAATCATCTATGTTGCTATGACGATAAAAAGAACCCGTCCTCATGGGTCTAAAAATATTCTGCGCCACTTAATTGGTTCCTCAGTTTGAAGAAGAAAGAAAAGGAACAGCCGACGTTACAGTGGCAGATCTCAACGTCTGCAAAAGCCTCATCAATCCTCCGAGTGCCGATCACCAGCTCGGTCTTAAGAGCTGCAAGTGGACAAACTCAATTTCTCATTCATCATCGTGTTTTGTCATTTAGCTCTGGTGCTGCGCCATTAGTGTCTTTTATAATGAAACTGTAACCGAGGAGAACGAGTCGGACAAACCACACAACAACAGCAGAACATGTTTTTAACAGCAGAAGGCATTTCTTTCACTGTTCTACCTCTGACGTACAACAAACACAAAAATGGGGAATAATCACCAATCAGTAAAAAAGAAAATACACCAATATAAAATACAGGTTGGTTCTATTCTGTTTTTCTTTATCCCCTTGTGGTTAATTCTATTTTTTAATTGTTTTCAATACAGTTCCTCTCTTTAAAGGAGGGATAATAAGACACAAACTCTGAATATGTGAATTAGAAATGTGACATTTAAAATCCCAAGGAGACTAAAACCAACATTGCTGTTACTCTTTCTTATATCATAGCTTCTGCAGTCAACTGACAAGTTAATAGATATAAATAATGTAAATGTGACACTAATTAACATTTTGAAAAAGGCTCAGTAATTTACTTAATTAGCTGGACTGTAGTTTCCTGCAAACATTACTTCCACAGATAGTATTTCCTGGGGACTATTTTCAGCTGGGGACTAATCCACACTCTGTGGCTTTTGAACAGTTCTGGGATAAACACTGACCTCTATGGCACAGAGGAAATGAAGGACACAAGAGATACTTACAAGTAGAATTCATTCAAAGCTGGTTTTACGCTTTTTCGTAGGACTGTATTGACAATTATAATTATATAAATCTCTATGAAAATTGTGCATGAAGTTGCCCGATACGCGATGTGAGTGTCACCCAGCGGCGTGAGGCTAGTCAGAGAGTTAGCATCAGGGCCAAAAGAAAATAAGATCTGACTGTAATCGATGAATCATGAGGTCGTCACTCACGCATCCACCAAGATCAGCATGTCCTTGGGTGACGCCGCCCCCTGAATGTACCTGTGAGTAACAACAGACACGTACACAGGTCGAGGATATTGAGGATAAAGAAATGCACAAGTGGCAAACATAGATAACATAGACACACAGACTCTTATTAAATATTAAAATAAGAAAATTTCACAAAGCACATTAAATGTGTTCTTTAATAAACACGTGTCAGAGATCAAGAGGCTCTGGAAAGGAAATTCAATAACTTGGTTTGTGGCTTCCAGCTTTAATCAGTTTTGGGAGATTAATGAATCTCTTGTCAAAGACCTGGAGTTGAGCGTTTCAGTGTGTGTGTGTGTGTGTGTGTGTGTGTGTATGTTTGTGTGTGTGTGTGTGTGTGTGTACAGATGGTCTGACGTGTTTGTGCAACATGCAAATATATTTTTCGCCAATGCACGTTTAATATGGAACTCACACAGGTAGACTCAATGAGCCACGTGTGTGTCCTCCACAAACACCAGAATAATGACTGACAATCAAACGGACAAGAGACAACGAACTATGAACCAGCGTCTGCACTCACCACGGTCGCATGCGCACATCGTAGAGGTCGATCTTACTGGCTGAGTTGCTCAGGTCCATCCAAGGGGATGCTGGGATTTGGCAGAAGGACGAAAGAGGAAATTATGTTTATTTCTCATTAAGGTTTCGTTTGAGACACTTTAATTTGTGTGCTAGTGGCCAAGTCTTATTAGGTCTCATCATTTTTCTTATGTCCTAATACAGTGATCCTCATCCTGGGGTCCAGGGGATGACTCCTGTGTCAGAGGCCTGTCCATACCTGGCTCTAGGCTTCATTATTTTTTTAATTGCCAATTTTTTTTTTTTTGATCCCTCGCCTACAGTTTCTGCAGATTCACATTCAGAATCTGTTTTTATCTCTATATGCTTACCAACATGACTGAAGCTAAATAATTAGCAGACATCTTGTGTGTTTAATCTGTACAAAAAACACAAAATGTGCTTTTATGAAGTGTTTTTAGTAAATTAAACTGTTCACAGGGTTAGGGTTAGGGGGTTTCACATGTTCTGCATGTTTTTCGTGAAGTGATTCGTGACTGACTGTCGTCTTTCTCAGGCTAAAGTCACAGGAAAGACAAAGTCAGCCAACAGCAACACAGTGTTTGAGCACAAGTCTGCCTGATTTTGGATGCATCTGTCAGCGGCATGATGAAATGGCCCCTTGGTGTCCCAATCACCGACCACATAAAAAAGGGTCAAGCAGGCCGACGGAGAAAGCCCATTGGCTGCTGGGCTGCTCACCTGGGTAGTAGCGGGCCAATCCGGTGGCAGAACCAAACACCTGCCAGAGGAGCGAGGGATCCTCCTCTTTGTTTTTCCGGAAAACATCCTCCAAAGCTTCTGTCCAATTCAGCTCGTTCAATATGATGGTGGCTGGAACGCACACGCACGCACACACACACACACACACACACACACACACACACAGAAAGAGTAAATGAGTCATATTCACAAATACAAAATAAACATAAAAAATAATAAATAATAAAAATCTGACAAACACAAAATGTCAAGGCTCAAAAACCATTTCCTCTGAAAAAGCAATTCAGAGGGAGGAGAAAACACACACACACACACAGTATTAGGCTGCTGACACTGACAGCTGAGAGGAAGCCTCCTCACAAACATCAATCTACTGTGATCAGATATTTCCATTTCTTTTAGTGTTTTCACTCTCAAGCCGCGAGCACAGACATCTGCAGCCGCGGAAAGTGAGCAAAAGTGACGAGAGAAGACACAGGGGAGAGAGGGATGGTAAAAACAGAGTGATTGAATTTGATATTTCTGGAATAAGACAAACTCATCTTCTGGGAACTCGGGGGACAGACGTACAGTAAACGTTTTGTTTACCTGTTTGTCTGCAGGAGCTCTCACTGGCTTAATTCTCCCAACAATCAAGTTTGATCCAAAAAGGCAGCTCTCCGCCTGGGAGAGTGGGCTGCATGTCAAACTAAAGCTCAGCATGACTCATACTCGTTTATGTTTGTGTGTGTGTGTGTTTGTAAAAGCACTAAACATGAACAGAAAAATGGAACAAGAGGGTGAAGGAGGGGACATCCAGGAAATCTGGATCTTAAAAGCGAGGTACGATAAGTTAGTGGTGAGCTCCAGTAACTCGGTTGGAGAATTACAGAATATTGGCAACTCAGCAGGAAGAGGTGAGAGGGAGAGATTGCATTAGTTTTGAGCTGTAAATCAATCACATCAAAACACACAGGAGTCACATTTATAGCTAGCATGGCTCAGGAGGCTTGACCGGGCCGTCCACTTACTAAAGAAACGGTGGTTCGATCCCTAGCTCCTTCAGTGTGCCAAAGGGTCCCTGAGCAAGACAATAAACCCCAAATCTATCACGTGTGATTGATGTGTGATAGAAGAGCGCTGCATATGAAAGTGCTGCATGAATGTGACTTGTATTGTAAAGCACTTAGTGGTTGTTCAGACCAGCAAAGTGCAATATAAAAACTGTCCGTTTACCACTTTGTGCTTTGGCACAGCAAAGCTTTGACCTAGATGCTAATGACAACATGCCAACACACTGACGTTTAGCAACTGAGGCGAGAATACAGGTTTTTGGCCGTTAACCAAAACACTGGACAAAGATCCTGACGGGGCAAATGAAGGATTTTACCACATTAAATAGCAAAATCAAAAAATCCCAAGCTACTATATTATAAATGTAATTCAGCAAGAAATATGAAAGAAATGGAAAACAATGAGTGAAAATGTCTTTGCCTATTTTTTCCATCGTATACTTTTACATTTTGGGACATGTGGCCAACCTTTTGTTTAGCCAAAACTTTTTGAAGACATAAAAAACTAAAATAATTTGGATAACACTTGAGATTAAAGCCTACAACGTACGGCACAAGTACTCTGGAGTTATGACGTCAATTCTATAAGTACTTATATGTAGGTGCTGGGGAACATTGTGAAGTAAAGAAATAACAATTCAGAATCTTACAAATAACTTATACTGTAGTTATTTTTATACTCCTGAAGTTTTATAAAGTGTACAGGGAGTACTGGCCTATTATGATAACTGTACCAGGAAGAAAAACACAGCGTACTCTTTAAACAACGTAAAGCAATGCTGAGCCATAGAAACCAAGAAACGACTTATTTCGTCAAAACCTTCATTTCCTCTGCTCACCGTCCTGTAACTCTCCCTCCGGCTCCACACACCTTCCCCTCCTCTCGACCTCTCCCCACTTAAGCATGGCTCTATTTCCATGCTTCTGCAGGATAAAGAGAGAGTTAAGGGCAAGGCTTTCAATGGCTCCCCCGTGGTACTGCCGAGCAAATCGTGTCCCAATGATAAGTGGAGACAATTTGTTCAGGCCTGATCTCCCCCTGCTCCCCGAGGATGGCCCTTAATGGATTAGTCCTGCTGTCTTCTGTGACATCAGTGGCAACAAGTCTCACAGTAACCAGAGCTTGCACAGGAAGCACTGGTGGTTTTTCGCCCCGACTGTCTCGTACTGAACAGCGAACTAACAAGGACAAAGGAGAAATCACAAGTTTGATTTGTAATTGATTTGAAGTCAAGACGTAGATGTGATGAGGAAGGAGATAAAATAAATGACGGAGCCCGAGCGTGTGTGTCCTCACTTCCTGCACGTTTTTATGTGTTTCTTTTGCTTTGTGTAAAATTGACAAACCCATTATAGCCTCCCATGGGAATTTGGATGCAAACACACAACCGGGCAGGTCAGGCTCCGCTGATGAGCCCTTGGCAACAATAGCAAATGCGCGGCAGTGTCAGCCATCTCCACCACATACTGGAACAAATCAGGGTTTCAGTGTAAACAGATCCATCTCTGTGAGGATGTGGCTGCTGCTGCCGACTCGAGGTCACCGTGATGGGAGGAAGAAATGAGGATAAAGTATCACCACGGCAACACACGCTCCGGTCAGCTGTGTTCGTCAGGCAGGGCATCGTGTCCTGAGGGATATTTGAAACGAGCAGAGAGGGCGTGTGTGTTTCTTCAGAATTAATTTAGAGCAGGAAACATGAATATTACCAGTGTCTCAAAGAGAACTGAGTAAAAGTTGTTTCTCCTGTTTGCTGTGCACTACGTCATTTACTCCCCCCTAACATTTGTTCTGACGATTATACATAAGTACCGGCCAACTCAACACAGTAATACTCGTAATAATAGTATTACATCCAATCATCACGCCGCTGCAACCAATCTGGCATTAGACACGCCCATCAAATTGTCTTACGGAAAAACAGATGCATCAGTAAATATTAAATAATCAAATACATGAAGAAATACAGAACATATATAAATAAATGTAGAAGTAAATAAATAAACAGAAAAAAAATATATGTAAAAATGCAAAAGTAAATAAATAAACATGAAACATGTAGAGACACAGAGTTGAATTCCTTAAAAATGAACTTGAGATAAAAAAAACAGTAGGATAGAGATTTATTTGACCTCAGCAGTGAATCCACCAAATCCAAATGGTTTTACTCCAAAATCCGTCGTACAAACCGGCACCGAGTGAGACTCTGGTTGGACCTGAACTCATTTGAGATTTGAATTGTATTTGCATTTCAAAATCTAACGAATCTCTAGATGAATGAAGACTAACATATTAACAAATAAAACTGGATTAAGAAAAGACGCCGTGACAACCGCAGCCGTATACGTCAAACTATTCCAATACCACATGGTTAACAAGTAAAGACATGGGAGATAAAAATAAAATGAATGATTCATGGGACGGGAAGGGATAGAAGGACTGAATATGGAAGAGAAGATACTAAATATTCCCTGTGAGGGATGTAGATGCTTTCAAAAACAAATCAAATAGGATTCTGGCAGTGACTGATGAGGGTGATGGTGGTGGGCGGAGGTGAGGGAGAGGAGGGGGAGCCGTGCCAAGTGATGCCCTGTGGTGGAACCTGTCATCAGCTTGCTGGTGGCAGAAACTGCCTGTGCATTGGGAAGTAATTACATGGTGGGGGCTGAAGTGGAGAGAACCTGCAATCATGGTATCAGGAGGAGCCCCTCTACTCGATGATACTCCGCCACTCGCAACTGACTCTGACGGGAGCGTGAACACGTCGTCTCACTGACATCCAGTTTATTGTGTAACACACAAAGCACATCAAGCAAATCATCTTTCCACCAACAAACACTCAACTGTCAAAAGGGATTCGTGAACACGTAAAACAACACACAACCATTTTTTAATTGGAGCAACTATGGGCACCATCTTGCAGAAGAATAAGAAACAGGAAAAGTAATAAATGCGACACAGGGGACAATAAGACCTCTAAACTGCAGAGAGCACTGGAGGTGTTTGAACTTCATGGTTGACTTGAGCTGAGCTGTCACTCCAGGACATCTGGTGTTACACTATTTTACTGTGTCTGCTGTTTTCAGACATGTTTTAAAGTTCATATTTCTCCCATTACGTGAAGGGTTTTCAGTCCAGTTGGATGGACTCAATCCAACTTTATCTATTTGGCCATAATGCTTGAAACAAGAAGAGTGTAACTGCTCCAATCACGATGTGGTCGCTGCCTTTCCAAACCAAAGGAAGAAGAAAAACGATGGAAGGGAAGGAAATGTGCAGATAAATAATAGATCACATTTCAATTCCAGTGACGTAAATGTAAGTGGATGGTAATGTGTTTCTCCATGAGTGTGGTTATTACAAATGTGTGTGAAAACCACCCGAGGTGACATGAAGATGTAACACGTCACACACTCATAAGAGCCAGGGCTTGGGGGGGGG